AAGGCACGGTTGGACATTGTGGCTTTACAGCTGGGAATTGTGATGGCAAATAGAGCATTGTGATGTCACTATTCACTGAATGATGTTACACTGGCTCATTGTAACAATTAATCTTTGTAACTTCATAATGGAGCATTGTGATGTCACATAGGGGATTGCAATATCATAATAGAGCATTTTGATGTGACAATGGGACATTGTGATATCATAATGTGGCATTGTGATGGCTCACTTCTGAATTGTGATGTCATGATGAGCATTTGTAATATCATAATGGAGCACTGTGATGTCAGAATGTAACACTGTTGTCAAAATGGAGCATTGTGATGTCCCAATTCAGCAATGTGATAAAACAGTGGAGCACTGTGATAACACAATAGAGCATTGTGATGTCACAATGGACCTTTTGATGTCATAATGTGGCACTGTGATGGCATAATGGAGCTTTGGGATGTCATAATGCTGAATTACAAAATGGGCGGGTAAAGTGTTGGGGTGTGAGAGGAGTGAGTTGGGTGGATTTAATGAAAACACATTGTAATATATATGGAATTCTCAAATGAAAAAGGAAAGACACAGACTTTCCACATAAGGCCTTTTAGTTGGTGAACTTTTTCTAAATTTCTTGAATATGCTGAGGAAAGACAGCCGTGATGCTAAAACAAAGAAAGGATCAAAAATTAAACAGAAACAAATATAATTTTTTTCATGAAAAGCTAATGGTTGACTTAAAATTGACTAGCTAGGTACTTCAATTTAAAATATACGTATTTTTCTAGTTCTTTTTTTTTCCCTTACTGTATAGTATTTTTGGTAAACCACCTGGAAATGCTCAAGTGCCTTTTTGCCTGCTTGTATACTGATCCTGGGAACATGGGCCGGTGCCTGGAGAACTGATACTCGTCATGAGAACAAGGATTATGGGTCATGGCAGCAAAGCAGAAGCTGGAAGGAGTCTGATGATTGCTAAGCTGGCATGGAAGTCTATGACAACCTCTGGACTTTCAAAAAGTCAAAGAATTTACAGGAAAGTGTGTAGGCTGACTCCAAAGATGATGCTCTTTCAATATTCTTGCAATAGTCTAATGGCAAAATAAATGTTACCAAATACTGAACTTTACTTAACTGTGTGCATTCTGAAGTGGACTGACTCTTTAAAAAGTATTTCAAAATTATTTTCAAATATTTCAAATCCAAAAAAAAATTCATGGAAAAGGTGTACCATGGTCAGTTTTCACTTAAAAATTGTTCAATATCATTTATCATGAGAGAAACACAAGTTACAATCACATGATGGCACCACTTTACACTTTCTAGAAGAGTGAAAACGAGATATTAATAGCCTGATAAAGCCAAGCACTGGCAATAAAGCCAAGCTGGCTTAGAGCAACTGGAATGTATCAGTGCTGATAGTGAAGGTGTAAGTGCCGACCTAACAGTGGTCAGCCTTGTCAGCCTCAGTCAGTTTCACAGCTGCCTACCAAGATGAGCGTTCATTTTTGTCATCTGATCCAAAGCTACACATGGATTTCTATTAAACCAGGGCAGGCCATCTGGACGAGGCCTCAGACCGGACCAATGACTCATAGCAATGAACACTAACAAATAAAGATGTATGGACTTTAGGGTAAACTGTGTGACTTGCTGGGCCACACAACAACTTCCAGGGCAAGACTGTATTTTTGTTTTTTGGGTTTTTTTTGTTGTTATTGTTACTTTTATTTTGGATCTTTGTTTTGTTTTGCTTTTTCCTTTAAATTTGGTTTTATTGGGGGGGGAGGTTCAAGGGTAGAGGGCAGATGTGAGGGACAGGGAGATAAGCGGGATCGGAATGCATGTGAAATCCACAAAGAATCAATAAAAGTAAAAATACCAAAAAAAAAACAAAAAACAAAAACAGGGCAGTGGAATCTATGAGCACACGCATGCGCACGCACACACATACATACACACACACACATGCACATTCACAAATGTATATGCTATTGTCAATAACATCCTAACAGCCAGAAACTAGAAACACATATCTGCTTACAGGTGACTTGGTAAACACATTGTGTCTTATACATTTATGTAATTTTGTTTTACTTATGTAAATAATAAAAATAAGCCATAAATCTATGCTAAAATATGGAAGAATATTTAAAAAATTATACTGTACTAACAATACTGTAATATTGTTAAGTTATTGTCTCCTTAAACCTTTAACATTAAGTATTTATGAATGAAATTAATGTTATTAAATACATTTGAATCTCATTAAATCTCACAGAAATTTTTCAAAGCGTCTTATGTGGAAAGTGGTTTCATAACTATTGTTATGGGCCCCTAATTTTATAATAAGTCTTCTATTTCTATAGACATTTTATTTTATTTTGTTTTGTTTTATTTCTTTTTTTCAATTTGGTTTTTGAGACAGTGTCTCTCTATGTAGCACTGGCTGGCCTGGAGCTCACTATATAGACCAGGCTGGCCTTGAACTTGCAGAGATCCACCTACCTCTGCCTCTGGAGTGCTGGGATCAAAGGCGTGCGCCACCTTGCCCCGCTTCTGTAGGCATTTTAAAAGGAATGGGAGAGAAGAGTATCTAGCTGCCATCGGGCCTGACAGTGGCTAATCAAGGCACGCAAAAACATCAGTTGTCCTCCGGAATTTCTAATGCCACAAAGCAAAACTTGACTTTATAGAATCCTACCCAGATGTTTTGAGCACCCGAAGGGCTGTATGGTCTCAGGAAAATAGAAATAAAAAGCATCTTTAAGGCTTTCATAGCAAGTAATGCTGAAATGAGGCTCAAGTATAGGCATTAATTGTATGTTTTTAAGAATAATATGAGTCAATATTTATGGTACACTATGATAAAGCAACATTCCATGTAGTAACTTATGTGACTCAACTCTCTCCAGTCATAACTTTTCCCAGGAAAAGAATGTTGATGAAAATGTAGAGTCAGCAGAGAGATATTTATTATCTTGTCTTTTTTACAACATCTCCATGTAGCTAGAGTTTTCCTGCCTGGCCCACAGGCAGGATAAATCTCTCTCACCTGCCAGCCCCACAGCTGCTCAAACCCGACCAAGTAAACACAGAGACTTATATTGCTTACAAACTGTATGGCCGTGGCAGGCTTCTTGCTAACTGTTCTTACAGCTTAAATTAATCCATTTCCATTAATCTATACCTTGCCACATGGCTCGTGGCTTACCGGCATCTTCACATGCTGTTTCTCATCATGGCGGCTGGCAGTGTCTCTCTGACTCAGTCTTCCACTTCGCAGCTTTATTCTCCTCCTTGTCCCGCCTACACTTCCTGCCTAGCCAACGGCCAATCAGTGTTTTATTTATTGACTAATCAGCAACACATTTGCCATACATAACATCCCACAGCATCTCCATGAGAAGGTCAGAAGGAATAAGATCGTTCTGAAATGTTTTAGTTAATGGGCACTTCATGATGTCCAGACCCAGCTACAACTATTTGTATACCTATTTTTAAATAAGAAAGTGTGGTGACAGAGTCCACCCTAGAGCCGACTGCAGGGTTTAGCGGCTCCTTTAACTGAAGGCTGCTGCAAGCACTCAGCAGGTTATTTGAGCTTTTAAATGTGAATTGATTAAATTTAAAATCTCGCGCTATTCATATGTAAAATAGAGGTGATAATAGATAGCACTTTCTTTCCTCCTAGGGCTATTATGAGGATCAAATGTGTTAATATATGCAAAGTACTTAGAAAAATGACTAGCACATTAATACACTTTGAAAAATATTAACTTGAAAATAATAAGTACGCACGAAGGCCTTTTTATAAAGTTCTGTGGGTACTCATGATGGAGAGCAAGTTCTAAAGTGAGTCCCAGTGATCCGGGTTCTTTGTATTTATATCCTTATGTAATTTCACTTCCTTTAATGTGACTTGAGCCAAGAGACTTGCTCACAATTAATCACCTCTGAAAAGGGTGAAGAGATGCCATTCCCCAGGTTAGGTTATGAAAGAGGGTGATTTAGGGAAACTCTTGGGCCCTTTTTACTTGTTCCCTCTGACAAAGCAAGCTGCTACAGCCGTCTTACCGGGAGACGGGGCACATGTCAAAGAACTCTTGGGTGTCTTTAAGCTAACAGCAGTGAAAAACCAAGAATACTGCAAGCCGAGAAGCCTTCAGAGAACTGAATTCTGCCAAGAATCAAGTGAATGAAGCTGGATGAGGCTCCTCTTTTTTGCCCTCAGAAGATAGAAGCCCCTTGGACACCATAATTGGATGTCCTCAGACCTAAATCAGAAGACCCAGCTAAATGACACCTAGATTCCTGATCAATAGAAACCATTATATAGAGTCTAAATCACCAGTTTTTGAATAATATTTATGCAGTAAGTAATATGTACCAAATGTATATCTTGGTATCATCTAAGTGTACTTTTGTGCTAAAAATATTGGAGCTGATTTGGCTATGAGATGATATTGGGTTCTGAAAAACTTTCTATTCTATTCTATTTATTTACTTAGTGTGAATATGTACACACACGTGTGTGTGCCTGTGGAGAGGTCAGAGGGTAACTTGCAGAATTAATTTTCTATGTGGGCCCTGAGCATTGAAGGTGTCTTATGCCATTGAGTCAGCTCATCGATCCAAGACTGGAAATGTCTTAAAGAACATGATAATGAAAGGAAAATTGCTTCAAACAAATGGTACAAATCTAGGCCTTGAAGGTATTTCCAATGTGACCTCCTAGTGATATATATCCCAGGGTCTTGAAGAGCTGTTTGTACACTTGTGTTCACAATAGTATTGTCTGTAACAGCCAAAGAAAGTAAACTTCTAAAAATACAATAAATTGTGACAGAGGTTTTAGTCAAAGTAACTACATGGACTTTCACTGACCAACATTTATAATCAAAATAAAATATTGAGCTAACAAAATGTTGTATCCAATCAGGAAGATTAGGGTGTGTGTGTGTGTGTGTGTGTGTGTGTGTGTGTGTGTGTGTGTGTACAAGAAAGCTAAATATTTATTTTTAAATGGTTAGAAGCCAATACATAAAATTTCCCCAAAATCAAGACATAACAGTTCAAACATTAAAAACATAGAGCCAAATAAGAAAAGACATAATAAAAATATTTTTTGTTTCTCGGATTTGAATTAAAAAATAAGATGCAAGAAACTTTAAAAAAATACCTGTGCTCTTTGAAAATCAGTTTCACTAAACAGTCTTTATTTCTAATTCTGAAAATAAACTATTTGATGACATTCCTGCTCAGAAAGAAGGGCATTCATAGGGAGCCTAACTCCCCCAGACAAGCATGGCTGCATGTGGGGATAACACGAGGGAGGGGCATGGGAGATGGGAAAGTCGAGGTACCGTTGTGAAGAGCACTGCGGACTTTATCTTGACAGATGTAGATAGGCATGGTCACAGCCGCTTCACCCACCAAGGATCACGCTCCGGGGATCATGGGGCAGTTCTCTAGAGAGGTGATTTGCCCAGGATAGTCATGTCTGTGTCCCCTGAAGGTGGCTGGTCAGAGGTTGGATGGGTGACCCACTCCTCTGAAAAGCACCAGCCCTGGTCTGACCTCCCCTCTTCTCAGATAACACTCTTACCACCACTGGAGAGGGGCTAGTTACAGTGTTCTCTCCTGAAACTGGGTTACGATTGTTCGTTTACAATGGACTCTCTCCTCAGATATCTCAGCCAGGCAAACCTGGCATAGACAGCTGTGGACTGGAGGATGAGCGTACGAAGTGCACACAGGCAGCGTTTCCTGTCTGCTTGCTCGCCCTGGTGAGAAGTGAGGTGACAGTGGCAGCAGAAGCAGGCACAGACATGAGAAGTCCAGGAGGCAGATTCTTCAACATCTGTTAACATCTGATGCCTGTGGGAAGTCAGTGTGACCATGACGTCCAGGAGTTCTTGCTGTAAGCAGTAGAATCAGGGTCTGATTATCTCAAGGGGATGGGTATTCACTAAAAGGACCTTAGTGGTGCTCAGAATCTATAAGAAGGTAAGAGAATAAAAGTTGGGAGTCGCCGGGCGGCGGTGGCGCACGCCTTTAATCCCAGCACTCGGGAGGCAGAGCCAGGCGGATCTCTGTGAGTTCGAGGCCAGCCTGGGCTACCAAGTGAGTTCCAGGAAAGGTGCAAAGCTACACAGAGAAACCCTGTCTCGAAAAACCAAAAAAAAAAAAAAAAAAAAAAAAAAAAAAAAAAAAAAAAAAAAGTTGGGAGTCATACAGTACTGAAAAAGACTCAGTAGCAGTGCACCAGGTGGTGGTGGCGGCGGCGGCGGCGGCGGCGGCGGCGGCGGCGGCGGCGGCGGCGGGCGGCGGCGGCGGCGGCGGCAGCGGCGGCGCACGCCTTTAATCCCAGCACTCGGGAGGCAGAGGCAGGTGGATCTCCGAGTTCAAGGCCAGCCTGGTCTACAGACTGAGTTCTAGGACAGCCAGGGCTACACAAAGAAACTGTCTCACAAAACAAAACAGAAAACAGACTGGCAGTGCAAAGAGGAGGGAGCACAAGAGTCTTGCATCAAGAAGACTCACCAGGAGATTATCACTATCAAAGCCTCATGTCCCTGTCTCTAGGGACCACCCCAGTTGGCTTTCCCAGGGAACAGTGTTCACTTGTCTAATTCTGGCTGCTGTACCTATAGCTGTAGGAGTGGAAACCAGGATGACTGTTTCCCACTCCACAGTGGAAGAAAGGCACTCACTGGAACAGACCAGAACTATACACAGGTGGGGGACTGGTCGGGCATTTCCTCTTTGAGGAAGAGCCAGGGACCTGGGATTACATTTAGCAAGCTATTTCAGCATGTGGTTGACAGGACACTATGCCTATCAACCAGAACCTTTAGCTGGTTCCTAACTCCAGGTAGCTCAGAATCTTTGAGTTTGCGTCTTGTCTTCTAGATAACTTAGTCTGTGTCCCTATGATGATTAATGTCGATGGACAACGTGATTGGGTTAAGAAATGCCAAGAGCCTTAGTGAGGCACACATCTGGGTGTGTCTGTGAGGGTGTTTCCAGAGAGGATGACAGAAAGGTAAGACCTGCCCTCACTGTGGGTGGTGGTACCATCCCATAGGCTGCTGTCCTGAATGGAATAGAAAGAGGGGAAGGGGAAAGCCAGGTGAGCACCAGAGTTCCCCTGTCTCCACTTCCTGTTCTGGGATGTCAGCAGGAAGCCCTGCTTCCATGACTTCCCCCGCTGTGATGGACTGTATCCCCTCAAACCATAAGTGAAAATAAACATTTCCTTACTCAAGCTGCTTCTGGCGGGTATTTTGTCATAGCTATGAAACAAATAACTAACAGGGCCCGGAAGCCTTATCCTGACTTTTTCATTCTGCTTACTTCAATGGCTAAACATTCTCTAAGAAGGCAACTTTTCAACCAATCAGCCGAAAGTATCCTCTAGTCTGGCTTGCTGAGGCTCTTGGCTGCTCAAATCTAGTAATACCAAACTGTCTTTACTCTGTGTAACTATCCCTGTTCTCATTTAATGTTGTAGAAACATTTTCCATCAAAAGTATTTATTTACTCTTTCTCTTAGGGAAAAAAGTGGACATTTTCCAGGTTTGCTTGCCTAATTTCAAAAAGTCACACAGACATAGGTATGATCAATAACTTCCTTAGTTTCACTTCTAGCTAATACTTACCAGCAATAAAAATGGTTGTTTAAAATGTGTTGCACAATTAAGTATCAAATGCACTCCTGCTATTTGATGAAGATGGTTTTATTCCCAAATGTCAACATGTTCACAGCGATATCAGGGCAGATAGATGCTGGGTGCTGGGGTGATAATTCTACCTGTTTTTAGTAGAATCATCTTTCATAGATAATTTCCTGTTTTACTATGGCTAGTATAGTTTTTCAATTCAGGTGAGTACAAAATGCTCTCCCTCTCCGAACTTATTAAACCGATCTTCCATGAGCTTGGATTATAGACCTCCTGTTACAGATAGAAAGTCTGGGACAAAGGGCTCCAATTATTTTTGAAAAGTTAAACCAAGACTCCATAGCTCAACTGCAATGGTATTGTACAATCATTAAATCAGAATCATACAATTTCAGAGGGCAATCAAAATTTTCTCTTAGTTTTTCAAACTGAAAAGAATTTCACTTCAGCTAAATTTGTAAATGTTATAGATTGAGTAATTGAAGAGGTACACAGCAAAACTGTCACTTCCTTTTGTCTCTGTGAACAAAAGTTAAGTGTAGCCTCAGTGTTGACCCTGCACAAGGAAAACCAGCCAAAAGAGATATTATTCACTTACTCATGCAAAGCCCTTTAAAAAATGATGTTTCCATGGAAACTATCAGGAACTGACTCATCAGGAATGGTGATATTTTCCAGACAATATCTCTAAAATTAAAATGGAAAAATTGGCAAAATTATATAGAAATACAATTTTAGCCCCTCCAATTGAAATATCCCTCTCTTTCTTTAATATAAGGACATGTCACAACAGTGAAAAGCAGTGTGAGTAGTAGTGACCATTCTCGTAGGAGCAAAGATGTGTTTTGTTACATTTTGGTTTTGGTGAAAGTATCACATGTAGCTCAGGTTGGCCTCGAACTCTCTATGTATCAAAGATGACCTTGGGTTTTTGATCTTCCTGCTTTGACCTTCACATACTAGGATTACAGGTGTATACAACTACACCCGGTTTATGGAGTATAGAGCATTGTCTTAGTGTTTCTATTACTGTGAAGAGACACCATGACCACAACAACTCTTATAAAGAAAACATTTAATTGGGGAGGCTCACTTGCCATTTCAGAGGTTCAATCCATTATTATCATGGTGGCACACAGTGGCATGCAGGCAGACATGGTGCATCTTGGCTTGCAGGGAACAGGAAGTCGACTGAGGCACTCTGCAGTATCCTGAGCATAGGAAACCTCAAAGCCTGCCCCCACAGTGACACACTTCCTCCAACAAGGCCATACCCACTCCCACAAAATCACACCTCCAAATAGTGCCATTCCCTATGAGATTATGGAAGCCAATCACATTCAAACTACCACAGGTGTCTAACCAGGGCCTCATGCATGCTGTGTATCCTAGGCAAGTTTTCCCCTAACTAATCTATATCCCCAGCTAGGTGGGAAGAAATCCTAAAGAGAGACACTGTGTCTTCCCCTGGCCTATCAGATTACTGAGACAGCTGACCCCAAGGAACTGGAATTTCCCTAGGAGTCTCACGCTTGGGAAGGGAAAAGCTGGGGCCCTGGTGCCAACCGGAGGGGAAGGTTGTCTTTTGTGATTGATGACAGTGGTGCAGGACAGACCGGAGCTGGCATCTCATTGATGGGCAGGACTACACCTTAACCAGGACTCCTTATCTATGCATACCTTTTGCCCTCTGTTTAAACCTGCATCCCATGTCAAGACTCCTAAAAATGGACCTTTGAGTCAATCACGTCTTATTTTCTTCCCGTTCTGGCCACATTGAGTGACTCTTCTTCCTCTGCCTCTTCCACTATTCCTTGTTTCTTTAACTGGCTTATTGAGGATGAGTGGCCAAGCCACTAGTTTGTTTGTCAAGGCTGACAGGGTACAGGCTCTGAACCCAACAGCTCAGGTAACAGCAGATAACGTGTAATTCCATAAGAATATAATTAAATTATGTCAGCAATCCATACGCATGCAGAGAGATTGGATAACATACAAATTCATGAGCCCATAGTTACCAGCGGCGGTGAGTGCTTTGCAGGCAATGAAAAGGGGCCAGGCCTAGTCTGTGGCTCTCTAACACAGTTGCTTCCTATAGAGAGCAACACCACTGTGTTCCAAGCCTTTCTACTCTCTGAGCTCCACCTGAGTCCCCCACACTTCCATCTCCATGCCTTTGCTCAAACACTTAACAAGAAAATCCATTTCCCATGATATCTGCAGTTGCAAGCATCACTGAAGTTCAAAGCCCAGCAGGCTTTTCTTTGTCCACCCAGTAAGGGTGGACAGTCTCCTGTCTTAATCTTGCTGTCAAAGCTCTCATTACATTTCGCCTGGTTTTCCAGTTACCTCCCTATGATGAGCAGTATGTGATGTTCCAGTTAGTGTAGGTCCCCCATCCCACCCCCCAGTTCTCTCTGCAGCACCACAGTAATGAAACTTTAGATGAATCTGTGAGTGTGGTGAGGGAGCTGTTATCACACTTATGAGTGTGATTCGTCCATTCTTTCAACTCCCTGTCAATGTTATGCTCATCCCTCTCAAGACAGGTGTACTGTCTGCACATTAGCAACAACAGTGGAAGAAACGGTGTGCTGAATGCTTTTGAACATTTCAGCACAGTGTGGTGATCTATTGTGTACCCTAATAAACTTGCCTGGAGATTGGAGGACTGCTGTGGGATGTTCTGTATGGCAAATGTGTTGCTGATTGGTCAATAAAACACTGATTGGCCATTGGCTAGGCAGGAAGTGTAGGCGGAACAAGGAGGAGAATAAAGCTGGGAAGTGGAAGGCTGAGTCAGAGAGACACTGCCAGCCGCCATCAGGACAAACAGCATGTGAAGATGCCGGTAAGCCACGAGCCACGTGGCAAGGTATAGATTAATAGAAATGGATTAATTTAAGCTGTAAGAACGGTTAGCAAGAAGCCTGCCACGGCCATACAGTTTGTAACCAATATAAGTCTCTGTGTTTACTTGATCGGGTTTGAGCGGCTTGGGACTGGCAGGTGAGAGAGATTTGTCCTGACTGTGGGATCTGGGATCTGCTCCATCTGGATCTCTGTGAGTTCAAGGCCACACTGGAAACAGAGCCAGGCAGTGGTGGCACATACCTTTAATCACAGTACTGGGAAGCACACACGCCTTTAATCCCAGGAAGTGACATGGCTGGGCGGAGAAAGGTGTATAAGGTGTGAGGAAACAGGAACTAAAGCAGTTCAGCTGAGATCCTTTCGGGTGAGGACTCCGAGGCTTCCAGTCTGAGGAAACAGGATTGGCTGAGGAGTTGGCGAGGTGAGGTTGGCTGTGGCTTGCTCTGCTTCTCTGATCTTTCAGCCTTCACCCGATCTCTGACTCTGAGTTTTTTTTAATTATAAGGCCATCTAAGATTCAAACAACAGAATAGTATCTTCAAATTTTGGGAAGAAACAGAGGTATTAGGGGCTGGGAGATGCAGAGAAGGAGTGGCCAAGGCCATGTTTTAGGCCTATAAAAACCTATCAAAAACCATTGTGACAGCATAAATTTCCATCCCTTCTGATGTCTTTATTTTTAAACCTGACCCTTTGTCCCAGGAAACACTGGAAGTCCCCGTGATCAGCTCTGTGTTTGTGCAGTATGAGGAACACTGCATTTTCCATCCACCTCATAATTTGAAATGCAGGAGAAGATGTTGAGGTCAAGTCATCGGTGGAGGAAAGCACTGATGAGGAGAAAATCTAAACCAACAGGAGTCACAGCAAGGCAGAATGCTCCCTGTGCTAAATTCCTCCAGAGCCAGCCTGCGTCTTTAATCAGTGCCTAAAACGTTAGGTTTTTATCTGATGGTAGTAAACATACTTGGGGGTCTTAACTAGTGTTTCTGTTGCTGTGAAGAGATATCGTGAGCACAGCAACTCTTATAAGGAGAACATTTAATTGGGGTTGGCTTACAGTCTCAGTTTAGTTCATTATCATCATGGCCGGACATGGGGCATGCAGGCAGACATGGTGCTAGCTACATCTTGATCCAAAGGCAACAGGAAGTGAACTGAGATAATGGGCATGACTTGAGCATATATGAGACCTCAAAGCCCGCCTCCACAGTGACATACTTCCTCCAACAAGACCACACCCACTCCAACAAAGCCACACCTCCTAATAGTGCCACTCCTTATAAGCTTATGGGAGCCAATTACATTCAAACTGCCACACTTGGTAATAATCAATCCCCAGAAGGTAAAACTTTACATTTTCAGTTCATTTTAAGGTGCTTTTTAATAATGAACTATAGAAATGATTCCTGAAAGTATAGTCTTTGGTGCTTTGGACTAAAATAAAACATATTGTAAGGAATTCTTAGTGAGAATACAGTATTTGCTTCAAAAGATATTTCTCAATAAGCTACTTAGGATAGCAACAAAGATTTCTGGCAGGCTGAGGTGCAGGCAGAGCTTCCCCTCATAGAATGAAAAGACTCTTGTCTGAAGGTGGTAAGAAAAATGGAAGAGATGAGAGAAGCATCATGAAAGTTGTGTGTATTGTCCAATGTTTGCCGACTCCAAAACCCTCATTATTTACCCCTTAAAAGTTTCAACATGTGCCATCTACTCTGAGCTTGAACTGAATAAGTGCTCAGAAATGGTATCAGTCTTATAGCTATTTTTATGTGTTCTAAGAAAATGATCTAATGTGCTTTTGAACATTTACTTACTTAAAATTTATGTGTATTGGCCGGGCGGTGGTGGCGCATGCCTTTAATCCCCAGCAGAGGCAGAGGCAGGCAGATCTCTGTGAGTTCAAGGCCAGCCTGGTCTACAGAGCGAGATGCAGGAAAAGGCACAAAGCTACACAGAGAAACCCTGTCTCAAAAAAAAAAAATTATGTGTATCAATAGTGGGACTACATGTGAAAGCTTGGCCTATTCCTAGGCCAAAGAACTTTGGATGTAAGGTCAGATTATAAATCAACAAAGAGACAGATCATGTTCAAAAGGGGGAAAATGGGTTAGGGATGAGTTGAAATAGTCTCTGTTTAGTCAAGTAGAAGTCTTAGATGCTGACAATCCGTAAGTGTGAGCTATTGGAAAGACAGACCTGTGTAGTAAGCCAGGGCCACATGGTTGCCACACACATGGCAAGTCAGTCTTAACATCAGGCTTTTCATGCTGGTCAGGCTTGGGTCACAGAGCCTGTCTAAAGTGGGGCAAGAGCAGACATACACTATACAGCCTGTCTCTCGCCGAGCACCCCCTGGACCACACAGCACTTAGATTCTCTCAGCCTCACCCACCACTGGCTCTGCTTCTAATTGATCCCTGCCTGGGAGCAATCGAACAGTGTCTGTCCAAGTCCCTCTTGCCTGTCCCCCTGCAGTCACACAACAGAAATAAATTTCCTTTCGTAATCTAACAAGTACCACTTGTCATAACTGAAAGTACTGACTGGTGCAGAGGAGAGACAGAACGTCAAACCTATTGATTATGCCAAGGGTAGGCTATGGGCGTATCTTTTCCAGGCCTCAACTCTCATCTGTGGAATAAGATACAAAAAGTCTTATGGCGTCATGCACTTAAAGCTGTTTCAATTTCTAACGAGAAAAGTAAATAGAGAAGCAAACGTTTCTTGGGATAGGGTGAGCCCAAGGCCTGGAGCAAAATTTGTTTGAAGTCACCCACTTCTGAGTCCAAAGGGCACACTGGCTCTCTTCATACTCTCCAGTACCAGGGTTCAGGGAAGAGCCTTATTTAAACCAACAGCACTGACAGCTTGCTTCCCTGCTGTGGGAATGTGCAGTCTCTTGTGCTTTGTTAGAGAGCCACACTGCTATAGTCAAGTGACAAAGACACACAGCAGCATAAACGTATGCAAATGTCTCCACGGCAAAGGGAAGAGGTCTGCGGTTCCCTTTCCAGTGACCTGGAATCAACGCTCATTGACAAATAGGAGCATATTTGATCATTAGTGCTGCAAATTAGTCAACATGCAATGGTCGAGTCTCAAGACTCACAGGGTCGCTAACTGTGTTTTGTCCCTCAACCAATTAGACAAATGATTTTGAAATATAATTTAGAGCCTCATCTCATCCAAGACCATTTTGTTCTTGTTTTAATAATCGTTTCTCGGAACAGACACAGCCTTTCCCCAGAAACATAAATACAAAGGGTGTAAGAGTATAATCTCATTGAATGATAATTAAAAAGTTTCAAAACCTTTTCAGCAATATCACTGTCATGAAGTGCTGCCCTGCTGTTTTCTTCAAAGTGAGAAAGGGCATGGTGAAGAAGGGTAAGGGACCCATGACTGTTTGTTTCTGCTGGGCACAATCCAACCAAAACACCAGCCAAGGCTAAGGACAGAAGGACATTTTAGACATGTGAAATGTCTAAAATGTCAGGAGTGAGTGTTCCCCGGGGCCCTTCTTGAAAATCACTGTGTCGGTGAGTGTCCTAGGAGGCTGGAAAGAGGGCCTGGTGCTGTGTGAACATCCAACATGGGTGCTGGGAACTGAACTCCTGCGGAAGAGCAGCAGGTACTCCTAACCACTGAGCCACCCCTTCAGCCTCTAAAGGGCCCTTCTTGAGGAACAAGCTTCAGCTGGCCAAGAGGTAGCTGGGAAATGGATGAGCAAAGCTGTATTTTATTACTGTTGCTGCTGCTGGAGCTTGAGGGGATTAAGGGCTGTCCTGCGCGGCCTCTGTCTGGTATACACAGACCGCTATTATGTTGACAGTGACATAGATAGTCTGTTTAGGAACAGGACAAGAAAGCAGTACTGTGCTACAGAATCAGCAGATGAAAAAATCCATTAGTGTAATTCATCCAGTGCACTATTTGACCCCTAGTTCTGGGTGGATGTTTGAGTGAAATGCCGGCTGAAATCCTTTTCAGTGGTGAGTGTTGATTACTTCTCAGTATTTTGCATAGCACAAAACACAGACACTTCGGGCAGATTGTCATCATCTCCCCCAAATTGCCATGCACAATGAAGTTGGTGCTGGCAAAGCACAGTGTAAAAACCAGAGTAGGGTGTCACAACTCACATCATCATGCAGACCCCGCACTGAGGAACTGCTCTGGGAATTCAAAGAAGCACCAAGGCTATTCAGGGAAGACCTAATGAGTCATACCCTCAATCCACCCTAGAAACATTTCACTGGAATTCTTCCATTTTTCCAGACGATACTGAGCAAAAGAAATTCAGGAGAAATGGCTGAAGTCCCAGAGGAAGCAATTTGCTAAGTTATCCCAGAGATATCAAAGTTTTTCACTACTCTTCCCCCCCCGCCCCCCCACCCCCTTTTCTGGACATGATCTTGCTGTGTAGCTCAAGCTGGCCTAGAAATTTTGGTCCTTCTGCCTCTACCCCCAACAGACCGGGATTTCAGGCATGCACCACTGTGCCTGGCTCTGAAATTGCTTTCTGCCTACTACACGGTATTCTAGCTACTCCTCATTTTCTCCAGGCTCCTAAGCCTACACGCCACCTTCCTTCCTATTTAAGTGGACCAAGTGGATGGGTATAAACGACTTTCTGTCTCGCAGAAACAAAATAAAAATGATAAGAGAAAAACTTTCTGCTACCTGGAGAAACTTTCCCCCTTCTTCCTGCTAGAAAATGGAGGCTGTCTTTATTTTCCTCACAGACTCTAGACCCTGTCATATTTCCCCTCTGTATTATGCCATTATTTGCCCCTCAAAACTGCCAGGAGCACCAATCACCTTCTAGGGACTTGGTCCATGGATTACGCCCTCACTTGACTCTAGCGTTGAGTTCTTTTCTCCCTAAGGAAACTCCAACTTCCCTGGTCCTGTTTTGTGTCTTTAGTCAAAACAACAAAGTAAGACTTGAAGTAAACATGACTAAGCGATGGCATTTGTTGAATCTGGTGACTTTTGAATGGGAATTTGTTCTTTTAATCTCCTATGTTTTGTACCAATATTACCTTCAGAAGGCACGCGCGCACACACACACACACACACACACACACACACACACACAGTGTTAAGAGTTCAGTCAAGGTAGAGACCATAAGCGCCTCTGTCTGTGGCGGCCACACAGAGTCACCAATTATCACACCAAATATGAAGTAAGTTTTGGGTCTAGCTGGCTGAGCTTTAAGAAAAAAAGGAAAAGTAAATTATAGAGGATGTTCTGTTTACATTTGAGTGGGGGATTTCCTAATTCCACTGTAGTAACTGTCAAATGATTTATTCAAAGGTGACCCCAAAAGCTGGCTGGAAGTGACCATTTGGAATTTTTAAAACCTTTTCAGTCATGCTACTAAAAACATGATTAACTGTTAGGAAAACACAGGGTGTCAAAGTTCGCTCATCTGTTGGGTCCTCAAATACCTGCTGGGATCTCGTGCATCACACAGCACCAAGGTGAAGATAGGTTGATCTTTATTTTCTACTGTATTATTTCTAAGAAAAGCACAGCTGTGGCAGAGCACCCGCCCACCCCACTCTCTCCCTTTAGACCCACCCCTTTCCTGGGGGCCTTTATAGCTCTTCTTTCCTTCTTAGTAATTCTCCATCCTCCCAAATCACCCTTGTGCCTGAAATCCACCCCCTCCTCCTCTTTGGAAACATAAGCCATGCCTGTCTTTAACGCATGATGCCTGTGAATTCATTCCCATGGCATTTTAAACGACTTTCCATTTTAACTTCACCAAAACAGGGATGACGATCAGAATAAACCTCTTTCTTGTTCTCAAACACCATTTCCGTGACTGCCATCTTGATTCTTACTGTTACAAACTCAACAAACAGGAATTAAGAAAACGGAAAGGAAGGTAAATCACTACCCTGTCTCTAGTTCGTTTCCGGTCACCCCTCCACCCTAGCCTGTCCTTCCCTGTGACCTCCCTGACTTGTGTTGCCGCCACTGACCTTAACACAGTCTCTGTCCTCTGTGGGATGCAAATGGCCCTTCAGAGGTGACCAAGGAACAACTCATCTTTAACATTTGTACATATCGAGACTTGGTCAAATTTTAGGAAAACAGGATTTCTCTGTTTTTTTTTTTTTTTTTTTTTAGAAACAGTTTTATTCAGTAATTTTATTTTTTAGATGGTTAAATTTTTAAGAAACTTAACTGAACATTTTCTCTCTATTCCAAATTCAACATTATCCCTGGAACAGGCCAGGTAAGCTAGGGAGCCTACAGCAAAGAAGAGGCTGGGCTAATTCTACAGCCTTTCTCTTCCAGGACTCTTCCAGCTTCTTCCAGACTGGTATGCCAACCAACCAACCAACCAACCAACCAACCAACAAGCAAGCATTTCTCCCCAGAACCAACAGGACGTTTTTAGGTGGCAGCAGGGGGTTGGGGGTCCAGAATTCAATTTGGCTGCAGGAATGAAGCTGGAAAAGACAGAGAGACCCAGTTCTGGTTTGTAGTTAAGTAACAAGAGGCCAAATCAGGAAGTGTGTACAAGACACTTGACTTGGGGAAGAATTCTTTTTCTAAGGCTTATGCTTTTGAAACCCCCCTCTTATCCAACAGACACTCCTAAAGTGTTTGCGCCAGCAAAAGGTATGAACAAATGAACAAAAGGCTTGGCTGCAGACTTCTCACACGATCGTCTGCTCCCCAGGAGGTGAGATGCCGGGTTAGCTTGACAAGTCTGTGTGAGACTTTTCACAGGAGTCACATATCAGATATCCTGCATGTCAGATATTTACATTATGATTCATAACAGTAACAAACTTACAGTCATGAAGTAGCAATGAAAATAATTTTGTATTTGGGGTCACCACAACATGAGGAACTGTATTAAAGGGGCACAGCGTTAGGAAGGTTGAGAACCACTGGTCTATGTGAAGATAATTGGGTGTTTTAGATGTAGCAGTCATAAGCTGCAACAACCCAGGCTCAGAGGACGACAGAATTCCACTGTTACGCTTCAAAGTGCTTCTGCTGGTGCTGCTGGGGGCATCCACATCGCCATGGATGCCATTTTAGAAGCACATTGTCTGGTATTCAGAAATTCTTAAACTGGTGCAGTTAGACTCTGAATGATGGGGATGGAAGGAACATTCTGCCTTTGGGTAGTCAAAGTCCCTGAGCGTGCACGTGCGTGCGTGCGTGCGTGCGTGCGTGTGAGTGTGCGCGCATGCGCGCGCACGCACGCGTGGGCTTCTATACAGCTGTTTCATGCTGTCCCTAGAGGATAGGTTCTGTGACCTCCCTCAAACCAGTGACGCCTAAGTCCTTCATATGAAATGTCAGGGTTTGTATATAACTTGTGTGTGCCTTCACCATACTTCAGATCATCACTGAATTATCTACATTTCCTGATACACTATAAATGCTACCTGAATAGCCATCATGCTGTGTTATGTGAGGAATAATGATGGAAAAACACTTCTTCTGTTTCAGTACATATGAAATAAACATAAATACTACACATCTGCGGCTGGTTGAATTCACAGAGGCAGAACCTATGGGAAGGGAGGGCTGACTGTGTATTATACGGAGAGGTTATTAGCTTGTATGGCTGGGAAGTTTGGAACCTGCAGGCTGGCTGACTGGAACCTCTCAGGCAGGAGCTGTGTCTAGTAGTCTGCAGGCAGAATTTCTTCTTTCTCGGGGAAAACTCAGTATTGCTCATCAGTATTGACTAGGTTCAATCAAGGCTCACCCTGACGGTTAGAGACAGTTTCCATACTTGGAGTCTACTGATTGTAATGCTAACCGCACCTGTGAAATGCTGCTGTGGCCCGCTGTCCTCTGGGCATGGCACGGCTATGACTCTCTCGAACTGTCAGTGGCTGCGATGGTCCAAAAGAGACCTACACAAGATGGAGCCCATTAATTTTCAAATATAGTGGAAGGTACTGGGGTACACAGCCCTTCCCATCCATCTGGAGTTATACACAGTTAGTGGCTACTAAGGGAGAGAGCTTACAAGACCATGGCCCACCCCATGGGCACATGAACAGTTCTAGAGAAGAGATTTTTCTTCGGTGGTGTAGCTGCCATAAATCGCTCATCTTCTTTATAAGCAGCCCCTCGTCTCCATTTCAGTAAGTAACCCTAACTAATCTCACTGTTTAATCAAGCTAGATTGGAGTGGTCTGTTTCTTTGGTCTGTGGTTGGTGCTCTATCTGAAGTGAGTAAATGTTTGTTCTCCTCAGGGAAAGTTCACAGAACAAACACCTTCACACTAATACTTAGATTTGTGTTTAATTGAACAGCTTGGTACTATAACAGATTGTGTTCACTTATACCAGTCACACACCTCTCTCCCAAAGGAGGGAGGACTTGGAAGCACAGCTCATTGACAATGTTCCTCGCATTTTCGGGGCAAAAACCTGGGCTTCCACAGCCTTTGAAAGCTAGACTTGGCACTGGTCCCCAAAATGCCCACAAAATAGATGAGGAATGGTGAGAAGTCAAGGGAGATTTGTTAAATGTGAGAAGAGGAATAAATGAAAGAGATCAAGTGGCCTCGAGTCCATCTTATGGCTACTGGCATGCTTTAGCTTTAAGCAGGGAAAGAACTGGGGGAGAAGGAAGGATGGGGGGAGAAGGAAGGATGGGGGGAGAACGAAGGGGCAGGCATAATTTAGCAATCCTGGTCAAGGTGTGGTGAGGTTATTGCGTCAGTTCTGGTTCTGCGAGTTAGTCAAGCCTTAGAGCAGGGGTGACTTGAAGGGAGTGATCTATTTTTCCACAAATGAAGGCTTCTGCTTCAGGGTTCCAAAATAAGGGCCTCAGCATCACAGATAATCGTTCTCATCTTAACAGGGGTGGGGGTGTCCCGTGAGGTTTCGTTCATCCTAGAATCCAGGGTGACTGTAGAGTTGGGACAATGATTCACAGAGGTGCCTTCAGCCAAAGTAAAAGAGGCAAACAGACACAGAGGAAAGGCAAAGGTGCCCGGCTTTCGCCCTGCGCTGCCAACATTGTGGCCCAGAGACAGAAGCCAACCCTTCCATCAGAGACGGCTCCTGACGAGTTTTAGCAGTCCTGCAGACAGCCTTGAGGTAGCCTCGTGGTGAAAGAAGGTTTAAATATTTTCAGCTGGAGTATAGGGAGTCTAGTGCTCTGTTGTAAAATGGAGGCATTCATTAGGCAATGTTTTAGGGCTGCATGTGTGGTGGCGCATGCCTTTAATTCCGGCACTGGGGAGGCAAAGGCGGGTGGCTCCCCATGAGTTCTAGGCCAGTCTGATCTATATAGTGACCCTACCACTTTCCCGTGTCTCTAACTTACAGATGGCAGATTGTGGGATTTCTCCAATTCTATATCATGCGATCCAGTTTCTCACCAATCTCTGTCTGTCTGTCTCTCTTTGTAGGTATGTATACACATACACATACAAATGCACGCATTTAGTTCTTACTATAGGTAATAATCTTTCTCTTTGCACACACACATGTAACACACACACATATTCATATCTGGTTTTATTTCTCTGGAGAACTTTGGCTTACACACCTGAAGAATTGTCCTGAGTTGGGACTTCAGTGTGCTCTTATAACAGATTCCCAATGCTGGAGGTGTTCCACTATAGTCTAAGTGGAGATACAGCATAGAGAGAATTCAAATATGGCATGCGCTTTTAGGACCATAGGTAGACATTTGCGATGATTTCTTAGGTCCGTTTTTTGCATTTACAGGACCATAACATCTGCCTTGCATACTTCACTGGACTGCCTTAAAATTAAGTTCCTTGAGTCAGTGCATGTGACCTAAATAATAAAACAAAAGTTACACGAGTCATTGCTTAGATGAAGACAAGGGCATTGTTTATCATCATCAAAACGAGCCAGGAGAGAAAGACAGGACAGGGAAATTCTGGTGGCGTGGGGAAGAAAAAAAAGCTCTTCATTCAGAGTCTAGCTGAAGTCTCTCCGTATTTAATTATGCGCATGTGTGGGTGTCTGCGTGTGGATAAGTGCATGTGTGCGCAAGTGCCCACAGGGGCCAGAGGCATCAGGTCCTCATGGAGGAGTTACAGGCTGGGGACAGAACTTGGCTCCTCTGCAACGGTAGTATGTACCCTCAGATTCCCCGAGACGTCCTTCAGCTCAGGCCTTGTTTTTAATCTTCAAATCATAAGAGTTTCTCGTAACTTCTCTTAAAAAATTAAATCTAGTGATGGGGGTTTCAGGGTTTGGGGCTGTAGGTAATAGCTGCAAGGATTTGAAATGCTAGGAAGCTACATGGACATCCTGAACACTGACCCTGAAGCTCCCTTATGCAAGTAGCCTTCGGTGACGTAGTCTATGTTTTCCATTGCTGCTCCATGTCAAGGGGGTGAGGTGAGCAGGGAATGGTCAGCGGGAGGATAAAGGCGGGCAGAGGGGACCATTGTAGGATCAAGAACCCAGTATTTTAAATTCTCCCACTTTGGATATAAATTTTTAATATAAAAAAATCCAGCTCTCTAGGAAGGGATCATACCCTTACATCTCAGGCTGCCATGGAATTATCAAGTGGAGTAGAGTGGTCTTGGTCCAAAGGGGCATTTTAGAGACTAATAATACATGGACTCCCAGTGACATAATCAGTCACCATGGAAACAGGTGGCTGCCCCTGTTTCCATCCAACACTCTGCAGTAACTCCATTTAAAGAAGCTATTCGAAGCCTTATGCTCAGTTCCATGGAAATGCAAGCTCACAACGTGAATTTCGTTCCTAAAGGTAAAATCACCTTTTTTTTCCATCATGACTTTTGGACTTCAGTGTTATTGCCAATCTTTTTGAGGATAATTCACCCCAGAATACTTCTGTAAGGAAAGAATAATGGACATTCATGGAGAGACACTGTGTGCCAAGAGTTTTGCCAGCTGTTTGCGTCCCCCTCAAAAGCTCCAGAATTAGAGATGACTGTTACTGCTTTGTAAGTGAGGAAATTGAGACATGGAAAGTTTCAATAATGCAGCAAAGACCAGACTGTGATGCTGTTGAAGAGCAGAGCGGAAATCCAAGCCCATTTTCCTCTGTGCAGAGAATGCCAATGTTTCCCTTGATAACCCTACACCCCACCTTGGGGGCAGTCCCCACAGAAACTGATGGATTCTTGCATCTTTCTATCAGATGATGTACTCTGTCTTTGGGAACTTCCCCAGCCCATGTACAAACTGGAAAAATGCTACAGTGTTAAAACCTCCAGGGGGTGTAATGCTGTGGGCAGTACAGGCAATGGGGTGCTTGAAAGTTGTGGACAAATTCTCAAACTGGAAAATTCTGACCCATGTTCAAAGTAGTCTCTGAGAGGGCACACAGAGGCATTGAGCTTCAGCTGGGTTTCAGCCTTGCTTTGGTCCAATATTTCCTCACTATGCCCCTTTTCTTCCCTTTTGGGATATTTATTGGTAATATTTATTCCTGTGCCATTGTATGTTGGAAGTATGTGATTTGCCTTTTGATTTCCTGAGGGTTACAGTTAAGAGATTGCCTTGAGTTTCAGAAGGGACTTTTGATGTTTAAACAATCTTGAGACTGTGAAAGGCTATAGAGACTTTTGAAGTTAGATTAAATGTATTTTGCATTAAGGCTACAAGCCTATGGGGGCTAGGGAGTGGAATGTGGGGGTTTGAAAGAGAATGGTCCCCATAGGCTCATATATTTGAAGGCTTGGTCCTTCATTGGTGGAACTGTTTTGGAAAGGATTAGGAGGTGTGGCCTTGTTGAAGGAGCTGTGTCACTGGGGGTGGGCTGTGAGGTTTCAGAAGCCCACACCAGGCCTAGTCTCACTCTATGTCCAACTTACAGATCCGGATGCAAGCTCTCAGCTTCTGCTCCAGCACCATGGCTGCCTGCCTGCCTGCCACCATGCTCCCTACCACAATGGCCATGGACTCACCCTCTAAAACTGTAAAATCCCCGTTAAATGCTTTTCTTCTTTAAGTTGCTTTGATTGTGGTGCTTTGTCGTGGCAGTAGAAAAGTGACAAAGATATTGAATATGTTGAGTAGTAATATGTCTGCTGGTAGCCCATCTACCCCATCCTTATAGATGATATGCTCTCTTAACCACCCTGAGATTCAGCTCCCTTGCCTTGGTGTCATGCTGTCCCTGTTGCTCATTATGCCTGCCTTCCTCTTGGTGGTTAATTCTGTTGCCTCATTTCTCTTATTTCTGGAATGTGTCATACCACGCTTCACCCAGAAGCACAGTTCTGTAATGAACTCTCCTGCGGTGTGTTCTGACCTATAGAGGAGAGTCATTCAGTGATGTGAGAGGCTTTCTCAGCAGCAGCCCATAGCTTTTTTTTTTTTTTCAGATTGAATACTCTCAGAACCTTCTCCCTAAGTGATTTGTGTGATGGATTTTTCTGTATGCTGTTTCCATTCCAGCTTGCCTACTTTTATGAACTTTTGATCCTTGCTTTCACAGTAGGCCACGGCAGTTCTAGAATTCCTACTGCATCTAGAAATGTGGAGGGTAATAGCTGCAGCATGGCAGAAGAGGTCACTGGACTCCCTTTCTACATCCCTGCAGATGCACCAAGTGTCCCAGTCCATGGGTCGTCTCTACCTGAGAGACCCCCACACACCAGGCAAGTGAGAACTGTTGAGTGGGTCACAAGAGCAGAGACATGTCAAGACAGACTCTGCCCTAGACACTTCCCCACACATTTGGAAAATCCCCAGCACTCAGCTTCTCCCTGAGGTGAGAGACTGGACTATACACACAGCACCCTATCTCCGAGGGTCTCTATGGTTTGACACCTCTCTCACTGACCTTGAGAAGTCAAGAAGGTGAGGCATATGGGAATGTTGCCACCATAATGATCGGCAACTACTTCCAGATGCTTCGCTCCCCATGTGGGGGCAGAGAAGGGCTCAAAACTCAGAAGTTCCAGTCTGTCTGGAAAGGATTCCCCACACACAACTGTTGTTATTGACAGTCAAACGTCAACCCCGTTTGTATCAGGGGAAGGCTGGACAGGCAAACAGAGACTTCTGGAAGCTTGAGTGAGAAGTTAGAACTTCCTGGGCCTTCACGCTCACGGTCTTACTTTCACTACCAAGGTAGAAGGCACTGGAAAACACGCTCATGACTCTTACTTTTCCAGGTTCTACCTTAACCGCCTTGGGATGCTGACAGGCCCTAATTTGGGACTTATCAAAAACAGAAACAGAAGGATCTAGGAAGCATGTGAGACCTCTCTCCATTCTCCTGCGCTGAGACTGGACTGACAAGATTGCCAGCAAACCCTGGACATTCACTGTGTGTAAACAAACAGGGACAGGGGAATAGAGAAATAAAGAAACGCGTTCCAAAGAAAAGCAAGCAAATTCCTACAAATTGACCTTGGTGAAAAAGACATGTCACTGGCCAAATTAAAAAAAAAAAAAAGAAAAGAAAAAAAAGGACCTAAAAAAATGAACACAAAGTGTAAACGAATCCCAAACAGAAACTGCAGATCTGAAAACATTACAACTGAAGTGAAGGCTGAGGGTCTCTACACAGAAGCAAGCTGAAGGAAGGACCGCTGGACTCAAGGATAAGTCTCCAGGAAACACTGGTTCTGAGCAGCAAGGAGAGAGAGAGAGAGAGAGAGAGAGAGAAGAAAAGAGTGAAGGTAGCTGAAGGGACTTGTAGAACACCATCAAGTGAAAGATGTGTCCAGAAAGAACTAGAAAGGAGAAAACAGGAGGGCCAGAAAACACATTCAGAGAAGCAATTCTACAAAACCTGGGAAGCCTAGCCATGGTGTTAATGCCTGCCATGCCAGTCTTGGGAGGCTGAGGGAGGAGGACTGTTAGGGGTTCTAGGCCATCCTGGATTACCTAGTGAGTACCCGGCTATCCCGGGCTGTGGAAGAGGTTGGGGGAAGAGCAGGAGGGAAGATGTCCAATAAACAACCTAATGTATCCTCACTGACTCTAGAAAAACTAAATTTCAGCTTAATGGAAGGAAAAGACAATTGTAAAAACGGAGATATGTGAAGCAGGCTGGAGACCTGATAATAGAGGAGACCAACCAAACTGAGTGGCTGTGTGCAAACATGGACAAGACAGACAAACCTCTGTCCCAATTACGAGAAAAGGAGAGGAGACGCCAACTCAGAAAGGAGGTTTTGTGCCTCCTCCGCTGCTGCAGAGATGCCGAGGACCGTGAGAGGCAGCTACAGTTGGATGTAATTAGATACCCTAGCAGAAATGGATGACAACCTGGAGAGGCAGGACATACAAAGACAGAGTTATAAGACAGAAAACATGAACAGACCACTGAGAGAGAGGGGTTCTATCAGTAAGAAAGTCTCCCATCTGGGCTGGAGGGATGGCTCATCAGTTAGAGCATGGCCTGCTCTTCCAGAAGAGACAAGTTTGGTTCCTAGCACTCACATCAGTGGCTTGGAACAGACGGCAACTCCAGCTCCAGGGGATCTGACACCTTATTCTGGACTCCGTGGGCATCTAAAGTCACATGTGTGCTTGTGTATGCATCCTATACACATACATAATTTTAAAAATATTTTCAAAGGTTTCCTATCAAAGAAAATATCCAGGAAAGGATTCACTCCTGGCTTATAAAATGTTGAGAGAAGCAATGTAACTCCTTCTCAGTCTCTTCTAAAAGTTTGCAGTGGGAGCTGGAGAGAAGGCAGGGTGGTTAAGAGCACTGGCTGCTCTTCCAGAGGAGCCGGGTTCGACTCCCAGCACCACATGGCAGCTCCCAGTTCTCTGTAACTTTAGTCCCAGGGGTTCCGATGCCGTCTTCTGGGGGCACCAGGCATGCACATAGTGCACAGACATGCATGCTGGCAAAATACACATGAATACCCATGCAAATAAAGTAAACAGACGAAAAACCCTGTACCCCAAGGAAGAGCTTCCATATTGATGAGCCCCAGCTATCCCATCTCACATCCTCTCACCCCTTGGATTGGCATGCCTATGCTTTCACATGTACCCTATCTGACTTGGCTGGTCCATGCTAACCAGGTCCTCTCGGTCTTCTGGGGAGTGGAGCCTTTTCTTCCCCGACAGGCCCAGCACTTGTGCTATGAGCCACTCTTCCTAGTCACCAGGTGGTCAAAATGAGCAATGGGACAGAAGCCAAAGGAGCCTGAGGTGCAGCAGCACCCACAATGCTATTCAAGTCTGCACCATTACAGCCCAAGTGGAGTCTGGGGATTCAGTGTCTTCAAGAGCATAATCTCAAAGGCGTGGTTCAATCCCATC